TCAACGTTTTTTCGCATGCAGACAACAACGTTCACACAGATCTGCGAAAACGGCAAAAAATGCTGTATTCTGCTGCCAGGCCAGTAGATGGCGATATAATGTATAACTTTAGTAGTTGTACTGTACACTATAGCTATGTTTCCATCCACACGTTTTTATCCGAATTAAGTGATATCGAATGAAAAATGCCTTATGGAAACAGTCAAATTCGATTCAATTTCATGAATATCGACTCAAATTAAATGCGTTCGGTCTCATCGGATTTTATCTTGATCGATATACGGCTTATGCGATAAACGGTGATGGAAAAGTTATTTGCCGAATAAATAATGAATTGCGATTAAGTTTTAGGTCCTTTTATGGTTGCAACACGCCACAAAACATAGAAGAAGTTTTAGTTCATTTCCGCCCAGTATTTCCGCTCTGTTTGCGCACACATGGCGGGTGTCAACAAAGACAGATGTAAGTGGACAAAGCAAAAAAATGCTTCAACCAAAGGGTTTCCATGAGGTGTCTGAACCACGATCTCCCAGAACTGATGGAGCGCTGTCGTTCCCACACCGCAGCTTGTTATTATATATAGCTTGTTATTACATGGCTTGGTTGAATTCTAATGTAGAATGCGGTCTGTTATTTCTTGATAACAGACGTTGCTAAGTATAACCTTTGGTATAACACACCGTTGCTAAGTATAACACACCGTTGCCATGAAAAACAGAGCGTTGCCATGGACGCAGTTCAGAGACGGAACGGACTATTTTCTTTAGCGGAAGCAATACAATCGTTTTTAATTCAATAAACTCCTTTTTAAATCAATATTTTGTGTCAAATTATTATTATTATTTATTTGGTAGGTAGCCATGTAATAAGCGGGATAATGTATAGCGAGGCGGTTGTTATAGCGAATATAGTCTCGCGTAGCCAGACCGTCAGACTGACGGCTGAAGGTCTGGAATTCATAGCAGCTTTCTTTGGCCAAGGCCCGCCCATAAGGCCGTTTGACCGACATGTAAAACAACCAATAACAGATCGTTTCGTTCAGCGTCACGTTTTGGTGCGTGGAAATGTCCCCACAACAACAGACCTGCGTGCAACAAGTCAGTCAGCATAGAAAATCAAAGAAGGAAAAGAAAACTTCAAGAGTCTATGCCGTGAACCGCGCATACTTTTGAGAATCCTACGTTTAGCTGATCTTGATAAATGCTCATTGTCACTCATGTAAACACAACAGTTTTTCTTCCGCAATCACACGTCTGCGCTTTGTTTCCCGGCGGACCGAAAACAAACGCGACACTCGCGCCCCCCGGAAATCAGATGACGACTTCGACATTCCTGAAGTGTTTCCAGTTAAGTGTACCAACGTTCCGTGGGCGTGACGTCTGAGGCTGAGACTATAGCAAATACAACCCCTAGGCTAACAACCACCTCGCTATACATTATCCCTTACACATGTCGCTATCAGCTGGCACATAAGCACTATTAGGCTACAACTTGTGCAATATTGATAATTTGTTGGTAGATGGCGCGATCCATTTTGTCTAGCAAAACTTTGTTCGCAAATGTTCGCTTGAATGGACCGCGATGCGATTCAGTGCAAAAATGAATGGAAACACCTTAAAATGTCTCAAATCAATACCAATTTGATCGCAAAATAGCATGTGACGTCATTACGCACAGGTTTTTATCCGCTTTAAAGCCGTTTGATGGAAATACACTTTCACCAGCTTTATTCGCATGAGGTTTTTTACCGAACTTCAGATAATTCGATTGGACAAGTGGATGGAAACATGGCTAGTGTGTAGCCTAGTGATAAATCCTGCCAGAGCTGGATTATCCGGTTTCACTGAGCAACAAGACCAGGAACACTCAAGTTTCTGCAATAACTTCATTCAGATGAGTCCTTTAGGCTACAATGGAATTCTTCTACACTATAACAAAATTTTTTGTGTCGCTCTCATTTCTGAAGTGAACAAACTTGACGTGAGGAAAGGGAATCAGCATAGCAACCGCTTTGGGCTGTATTGTGTTCTTACGTCGATATATTTTTTGGTGATAAAATGTTCTTGATGTCACGTTGTCTGTCAGGAGCTTCATATAGGCCTAGAACTTTTAATAAATTAAAACTAAATCCATCAAATTGAACCCCTAAATCTTCATTTTTGAATTGTAATTAAAATGCATGAATTAAGGAGCATGTACACATATACTTGATCACTATAAAGAAAACCTGTTAAACATGGAAGTATGCAATCAGTCAAGACGTTTTTTCCTTTTATAGAACCTTTTGTCAAAAAAGCGTTCTTTAGAATGGAGTCAAGAACACTAGAGTTCTAAATAGAACCATTGAAGCTTTTTTCTAAGAGTGAAATCTGTTCATCATGAATGAAGACAGAGGGGTTCGGTGGCTTTCACAGTCATTACTGCACAAAAGAAGAGCCATTCATTGATAAAACTAGAGATAAAACCAGAGAAAAGACATTAAAATACAGGCTCATTGATCCCAGCATTTCTAATGACTTATTTCACACATTGCCTGTGTTTTTATTTTAAAATCTTTCATATGGGCACACATATATTTTGTAAAATGATCATCATGATGGAATAGTTATTGAACCGTTGTCCATTGCACTGGCCCTTTAAATGTAGTTGCTATATGTGCACAGTAAGAACAAAAAGTGATCAAATGCATTAACTAATTTGAAACCAAGCAGATCCTTTTAATGAGCCTCTGAGGCATGGATATTTGGATAGCCATTTGATCTTCAAGAATGCACACATGCATTATTTTAAACATTGAGCAACACATCAGCTAACCTTAAACATACTTGAGCTGTGACAAACATTTCAGACGAGACCAATCCGTTTCGTTCAGGTAAAAAATGATGTATTGTAATAAATGGCCCTTTTACACAGCCAAAGGCTCACCTCTTAAGAGGGACAGTTCACCCAAAAATTAAAATCATGTCATAATTTACTTATTTACTTACACCAGGGGTGTTTTTCTAATGCCGTACAGCCTTCTCTCATTTATGGACCACAAAAGTATAATTTTTTCCCCCTAAAATTCCTGTTCGAGCGCATCTATATAAATGCAGTGAATAGCGACCAGCATCAAGCTTTTTAAAAAAGACACAAAAGTATCACAGATTGATCCCATGCATCATCAACGAATTGGTCTCGTCTGAAATGTTTGTCACAGCTCAAGTATGTATGTTCAAGGTTAGCTGATGTGTTGCTCAATGTTTAAATCATGCATGCGTGCATTCTTGAAGATCCAAAATCATGTGCATCTATACAAGCTCATTAAAAGGATCCGCTCATTTGCATTTGGTTTCAAATTAGTTAATGCATTTGATCTTGATCACTTTTTATTCTTACTGTGCACATTTAACATGCAACTTAATTTAAAGGGCGAGTGCAATGGACAGCGGTTCAATAGAACAACTATTCCATCATTTTACAAATCATTTGCATGCACATTTTTTAAATAAAAACACAGGCAATGTGTGAAATAAGCCATTTAGAAATGCTGGGATCAATTCATTTCTTTTTTATCTCTGGTTTTATCGATGCATGGCTCTTCTTTTGTGCAGTAATGACTGTGAGAGCACCAGAAGCCTCTTCTCATTCAGGATGATTGTCTTCACTGATGTAATGGGGCGACCCAGCCCTGAAACTGAAACCAGGCTCAAGAAGGAAGTCAACAGGGCGAATCACACACTGACATCTCACTTTAAAATCACAAGTAAAAATACATCAATTAGATAATGGAAATAAAGCTCATTTACATCCCTTACTATTATTCTAGTATGTTTTGTAATCAAAATATTAAATTATACAGATATTTTAGTATAATTCTGTCTTTTAAGATAATTCTATTAGGGTAATTGGGGCATGTTGTCACAAAAGGTAAATGTAGATCATGGGCAATAACACTGTGTTTAATAGCTTATTTATAGGTTTTAAGGTATGTGTCTATACAGAAATTGGCCTTGAAGGATAAACTACACATAAGTTTGACTACCAGCCCTGTTTTCTGTTGATTCTGAGGTGAAAAAGACAGTATATTCACTCTGAAAGCAAATTTGCACATCATTCCCCATATGTTCCTCTGGGATACTCTGGAGGGTTTGTGTAAAAGTGATATTTACCTCGTCTTGAAGATCTTTCTGCTCACCTGCAAAAAGAGAAATCCTCCCGATGTGTGTCTTTTATCCAGCATTTTCACTCAAATATGTTGCAGATAAATAGCCCAATTTGGCTGAACAAAGAAAAAGGCTTGATGCTCACAGTCCAAAAGGATGGATTTCCGAACTAAAATATTTATTACAAAAAAAGTAGTTAGAATAGCAGCCTATACAAAATCTTTTTTTTTTTTTTTAAATCTCAAGTAAATAAAGGATTGAGAAGATATTAAGTGAATTATTAAGTGGTGTCAACTCAAATGACATTGGCTGAAATAGTTAATTATTTCACACACAAAATTAGCCTTTAATTTAGCTGCTAAATGTTCCTTGGAAAAAATGAGTCTCTCCCTTCGTTCACAGAAGGACAAAGGGAAAATACCAGAGGATTGTAATATACAAAAAAACAAAACAAATATAGCCTACCACAAATACACCACAATTTCTACTCCTCAGCCTGACCGTTGTTGTTATTTTGTTGTTGTGATATTAAATTATTTTGTCTTTTTCCTCCTTGATGTGTAGTACTAAAAAGGAAAAGCTGTTTAAAAAATAAAGTACGAAAAAGCATTTTTTGAAGCCTTTTTTTCTGGGTGCAAAATAATGACACACACCTGCTGTTGACATTCGTACAGCGTTCCGCTCATATTTTCATACGAGTCGCCATAGAAACGCCAATGAGAGGACGACTGAAAGTTTCGACCTAAATTCCGGAAGTTTCATGCGACAGAATCTCCATATATGAATAATTGTGGGCGGAGCCACGACTACAGGTTGTATAAGAACTGCAGGTTGAAAGTGAATCATGCAATTGACACCAGGAGCAGATCTGAGGAGGGAGACCGTGGAAGGAGCATAACCTCGGGGTTTAAAGGTTTGAGTTTTTCTCGTAGTTATTTATTAGGTTTAGAATATTTCCCGTTGAAGTAAACATGGGGGTTTGAAAACACATATCGCCCTTTCAAAAAGTTTAGATGGCGTTCAAGCTATTGAAATACTAAAATCCCTAGTTGAAATACTAATTGTAATCTACACGTCTTTCCAGTTGTGTCCGGGTGTGTTTTGAACGGGTTTGTCTCTCTGGGAGTGGCGGGAGAGTTTTGGGAAAGCCTATATAATCCCTCTTTATAAGTTTAAAGGTTTATCTAGTAGGCAAACATTAAGCAAGAATGCAGTACAAATAAGTCTTGTTAATAATTTCTTCTTTTTCTTTAGAAGAGACGCCTAAAGACTCCTTCGACATGGCTTTCAACACCCTGACCTCTCGAGCCGTTCTCCTGTATGATGAGTGGATTAAGGAAGCTGGTGAGTCGTCATCATCATCATCATCATCATCATCAGTGCTACATTATTCTAAATGTCATAATCATTTGTTAACAAACAAGTGTTCATTATTTCAATGAGCTCATTGTTTCTGCCTTTAAATTATTACATTGTTTAAATTAATACTTTTTAGCTAACTGTGTACTTTTCTGAAATGCATAACTTCTCTCTAAATTGTAATGTGGACCTGCTTTGAAACGATGTGTATTATGAAAAGTGCTTTACAAATAAATGTGAATCCTCATCTTATCAGCATGACTGTGCCTGTAAGGTTTCTGTCTGGAAAATGACGTCTCTTGCATCACTTGTAGATCCACGGACTGGGAACTGGCTTCTCATGGCCTCCCCGTTCCCTCAAACCATCATCATCGCTGCCTACATCTACTTCGTGACATCACTGGGTCCCCGGCTAATGGAAAACCGCAAGCCCTTCGACCTCAAGCGTATCATGATCGTCTACAACTTCAGCATTGTGGCGTTTTCCCTCTACATGATTTATGAGGTTTGTGATTTTGTGCACCGTTGCATCATGCATGTTATCATTTCTAATGTTTGTTTGTATATTTGCGTTGCTCAATCTCTCTTCCCTCGTTGCAGTTTCTGATGTCTGGTTGGGCGAACGGCTACACCTATGGGTGTGACCTGGTCGATTATTCCAGTTCTCCTCAAGCTCTCCGGGTATGTGAATGGAGCACATTCCTCAGGTTGTGCGTTTGATACTTTCTGATGACGTGTGCAACAGTTTGTCATTTCTTTTTTTACCTCGTTTCCTTTTTTCTAGATGGCATGGACCTGCTGGCTGTACTATTTCTCCAAGTTCATTGAGATGCTTGACACTGTAAGTGTGTTTTCTTTTGCTTTCAAAACTGGTTATATATTTTACAGTGGACCATTAACGCTAAACTTCTTTCTTGTCTTCTTAGATTTTCTTTGTCCTGAGGAAAAAGAACAGCCAAGTTACTTTCCTTCACGTCTACCATCACTCCATCATGCCCTTCACATGGTGGTTCGGGGTCAAATTCTCCGCAGGTAAAGTGTTATACGATTGACGCTTAAAGGGACAGTTCACCCAAAAATGAAGTTAGTCATTTTCTCGCTCTCATGTCATTCCAAACCATAATAATGCAAAAGAAACGCCTTTTTAATTAGGTTTCTGTCCCTCCATTGAAAGTCCTAAAAGCTCATGTAGGCGTTGAATTGATGGGTATAATCCAAGTCTTATGAAGGGATATGATTGCGTCATATGCTGAACCGCTTTTAAACCAAACAGTATTTTGCTTTCTCAATTGGCAGATTACTTAGCTTTTTTCAAGCCAAAAACTCACTTAAATTTTTTTTTCTGAAAACAAGACAAATCTGACTTGTCTAGAGAATGTTTCTTAAGTAAGAAAAGCTTATTTCTTTTTTTTTTTTTTTTTTTTTTTTTTGCAGTGTATGACTTTTTTGGGGGGTTTAAGTTTTGATTACCTGGACTTTCAGTGGTGGGACCGAAACCTCTCAGGTTTCATTAAACGGGGTTTGTATAAGGTGCTTAAAGTTTTTGAAAAATAAGCCCTGGAAAACCACTGAAAACAGCCATATTTATTAACCTGTTAAGCTTCAAGCCCACTTTTGAAAAATCCCCAGAAATGACATACCCAAACTGAAACAGATACAGTTCATGAACCCTTTGCACTAAAAGCACAAGTATGATCTCATTTGAAAGCTGACACCTGGTTGTTTATTGTAAATGTAGAATTAATTATTGTCATAATGAAAAAAACAATTTTAAATAGCTTCAAAGTTTTGTAAAGTTATTAGAAATTTATTTTTATGAAACATCTTCATGAAAATAAAATTGAAGTTGGCCCTGGAGCAATCTAGAAATGCACTGCAGCTAAAGCCACATGTCTGACCATTTTATATTTAAAATCTGAAAATGATAAGTATAAAAAAATCTGTATTTAGTTAAATGTTTTTCAAGATCATGTCAAATTACTTTATTTTGATTAGACTCTATTAGCAAACTGATGTTTAGTCATCTTCTGAGTCATCTATTCAGTCTATTGTCTCTATTGTTTTGTGGTGCCCCATTCAGTCTCAGTCTCCCCTGCACACATTTACACCTCTCCAGACTGGTTATTATGGCTCTAAATATGCATTTCTTTTGTCTGCATTATAGCTACTAACGACTGGCTATTCACAGGCTATTCATAGGGTTTCAAACCCTAATTTCTTTTATCAAAGTTCTCACTAAATATTTGAAACTGGTATCAAATGCACTGAAACATTTCAGTAAGCATTCCTATTTAGAAAAAAATCATAAAACAATAACTGCTCGTGGCAGGTGCGCCTGGGCTCGCTAGCATGTTAGCTTAGCACACCATCAATACACGACCATTTATGAGATTAAAACCATGTTTGTGCTCCAAACTTACTATATAACGCAAGTCTAGTGTTTTAAATAATCTTCTGTGATCTAACTTGGCTTCAGATAAAAAAAAATCCGACAGAAAATGTATTATTTAGTGTTCTGAACGATGATGAAATCTATATCGATTAGCATTACATTATAAATATAATCTATTATTATGAAATACCTGGCATGGCTTGAAGAACACAGGTAACTCAAATATCATTGCAATCATGTTTATTGTCTTCAAAACATCGTTATCTGCATGTTACAGCGATCTCTGTCAGCTACTTTCTGTATCACTCAGTGACGTCCTGGAATGTCACATGACTATGGGTCTTCTTCATGATCCATATATGGACTTTTATTGGACATAATAGCGCCCCCATGCTATTGGTATGAATGGAAAACACAGCACATCTCAGTAAGAAGCGATCATTATGATTACATCGACGCATTTGGGTATAAATTCAATAAATATTATTCCTGTCTATAGAAATATGATGTGAATCTATGACAATATATCAATATTTCTCCACATCTGCACATTGTTGAGCTAAAAGCCCTCAGGGACGTTGTTTTGTGAATCGCTGTCATGACGACAGCACGGAGTGTTTTTTATGAATGGACCGGCTGACGCTCATAATTCATATTAAAGGTATCGACTCATTTTTTTCATTTCATAACTCCTGACACAAATTAAGACATAACTGTCACTATAAGTTTCTCAGAATACAATAGTGGTCAAATACTGAATCTTGAGTCTTATATCTTTTTAATGATGTATAGTTTGTCAAGGTATAACATTAAATCTGATAGTATATTTGAACTAAATAAAAAAAAAAACGCTTCAGTGCGCCGACGCTCTGGCAACGGTTAAGAGGTTTTAAGAGGTACTTGAAGACCATATATTTAAAATTAGTTACATTTTATTGATAAAACTATATTTTTACGCAAAATCAACTCCGCAACCCGTCTGATATACTAGATACAGTATGACCATGCGAAATGGCTCTCTGAGTGATATTGCTAATATAAATATCCAAGTATATGATCGCATTCATTCTTCGGGTCAATCATGCATTCATGAGAGGGAAAAAGTCAATTTGAATAATCAAAGTGATATCTTCGATAACTTTAACCATTGAAAGGATACTATGACACGGTCATTGCATGTGCTTTTTGCTTTTTTTTTTTTTTAAAACTAATAAAGATATTATAGTGAGATCTCTGATTATAGTCCTTGAAAACCAAAAAGTATCTGTACAAGCCATTCACACAAATTAATATAATCCCTCTACTTGCAGCCAAAAATTAAAACTCATTCTCACACATTTGCATGTTTTTGTGACTTGAGTCAGTCATATTGCATATTTAAGCGGCGCTCATTCACTTTTACCGTAATGTACAAGCTGCTTAATTTTGCTCTGAAGTCCTTTTATTTTTCGGCTTTAACGGACTCTGTTCATTTGTCTTTCGTAGGTGGTCTGGGAACTTTCCATGCCCTGCTGAACTGCATCGTCCATGTCATCATGTACTCCTACTACGCTCTTTCTGCCATGGGCCCGGCCTACCAGAAGTACCTGTGGTGGAAAAAGTACATGACCACCATCCAGCTGGTAAGTTAAGCTTCTCTCCCCATCACATGTCCTTTGTTGTCCAAATCCAGATTTTCACGTCTCTAACTTGAACATGTTCATACTAAAAGCCAAAAAAATTGATTTTTAATGGGGACTTTAACTAAAACAGATCTATTAAATTAAACTGAACTAAAATATAAATATGTGATGAATTTGCAACTAACTGAAATGATAAAAAAACTGAAAAAATATAATAAATACTATAATAGTACTAAATGTGTGTATATATAGCCTATATTATTTTATATAACACACACACACAAACACACAAAATAACATATATATATGTGTAATAATAATAATAATAATTAGAGTATATATATTATATATATTAAATATTTGTATGTCATTTGTTGTCCAAATCCAGATTTTCACGTCTCTAACTTGAACATGTTCATACTAAAAGCCAAAAATTTGATTTTTAACTAAAACAAATTTATTATTAAATGAAACTAAACTGAAATAAAATATAAATGTGGTGAATTTGCAACTAACTGAAAAAAACCCTGAAAAAATATTATAAATACTATAGTAATACTATAATAGTACTAAATGTGTGTGTGTGTATATCTAGCCTATAATATTGTATATCTCACACACGCACACACAAAATAACATGTGTGTGTATATACATGTATGTGTTATTATATTAGTATATAAAAAATTTGTATTATGTCCTTTGTTGTCCAAATCCAGCTTTTCATGTCTCTAACTTGACCATTGTGTTTGCATCAGGTTCAGTTTGTGCTAATCACGGCTCACATCGGCCAGTTCTTCTTCATGAAGGAATGTCCTTACCAGTTCCCCGTCTTCCTCTACGTCATCGGTCTCTATGGCCTGATCTTCCTGATCCTGTTCGTCCACTTCTACTATCACGCCTACACCAAGGGCAAGAGGCTTCCTAAAGTACTCCAGAACGGAAACTACCTTCTCAAAAAATCTGAGTGATCTCTTCCCTTGGCCAGCTAAACTTAGCTATAACCTGTTAAGTGGGAATATTCCTTTTATTTCATGCGTTCAAGTTCCACTCCCCTGTTTTATGTTAAAACTAATGTGGAAAACCGCCACCCTATCACTGGATTTAACACTTCCGAATTTGCACATTGGTGTTTTTTTTACTAGAGATTCTGTCCTCAATTTTGTTGTCTTCACTTAAGGCTTTGAAATGAGAATGGGGTGGGAAGTACAGTATTCGTTATAATGTCCTCCAATTTATCTGTAAATATTGAAATTCTCAGCTTTGGAATATGATTGAACTGCTTGGCCAAATATGAAGAGGTTATGAGAGCGAGGCTGATTTGAAGTTTGTTGCTAATAGGGTTTTTGAAGGCTGTGTTTTAGTTGTAACTGAATGAGCCCGATGCCCTTTGACCCTTGAGGAACGCTTGACTGATCTACCTGGAGGTGCTCGAACCTGGAAGTCTATTGGTTGCTGCAGATGTGACATCATCTGAAGTTATTTTGTTTATGCTGCGTGACTATTTATTCTTTATTTAATGCTGATTGTTTTCTTAATGTGATCTTTTAAAAAAAAAATATGAAATTGATCTGTAGGTATTACCTGTTATGCTTTTATATTCTACTGAGCTGAGGAAATGGGAAGACCAGAACAATATCAGAATTGTTTTTCCTTGTCTTTTTAAATCAATTTTGTGAAAGAAATTGAAGTGTTTTATATTATTGAAACAAAATAAATTATTTGTCACGATCTCTGTTTTCTTGCGATTTCATATACACTGTTTTAACTTTTTTTTTTTAACCGCGCAGTTAAACTACACCTCCCATACTGCACTTTGGCAGCCCCGGTTTAAGCTAATGCCCATATTTGGTAAGGAAGCATCACGTGGCTGATTTCGTGTGCCAATCAAATTATGTTCAGGAACGTTTCGGTTTTCAAAACTGATGTAACTGGCGTGGAGAAGATGTTTACAGACATAAACGCAGTAAATGGATAAATAATAAGCACATAATCTATTAAAACCGATCAGGACTTGAATGGATGGTAAAATGATTGGACCTGGGCCTTATAGGGCAACGAAATTGGTAAGAACAATTTTTGAAACTCTTTCCATCCACTCGTTGATTTTTAACGCTTCACGTGAGCTGATTTGGTGTCTCTTTAAACGGTTTGTTCAAATATATTACAATAATATATAAGACCACATATCAGTAGGTCTAATGGGCAAAAACTTAGGTTTCTTTAATGCACTTTAGACTATTTTGTATCAACTAACTTGGTCTTCTTTCTGACCAGTGGTAAGAAAACGTCCTATGTGTTTATTTTAACTAACGTAAACGTTAAGCTATTTGCGTTTGTAGTTTTCTATAAAAACTTTAACGCTAATGTCACCAAAATGAAACCAGAATTTTGAATCCGGCTTTATCCACTGAATGTATGCGAATTAGTGCGTATTTAATTAGCTAATGCCTCATTTATACGCAACATTTCAGAAAAATCGAGATCCTTAAAGGAATAGCTGCTAGCCTAAAGTTAGTTCCTCCAAAAATGAAAATGATCCAATAATTTACTCAGCCTTAAGGTGTATACGACTTTCTTTCAGCCGAACACAATCAGATTTAACCTTATATTAAAAAATATCCTGGCTCTTCCAAGCTTTATAATGGGAGTGAATGGGGCTTGAGATTTTGAAACCCAAAAAAGCAAATCCATCCATCATAAAAGTAATCCATACGACTCCAGCGGGTTAATAAATGCCTTCTGAAGCGAAGCCATGCATGTGTTTAGAAGAATATCCATATTTATAACTTTATAAACTATAATCACTGGCTAAGAACATTATTTAACACATTAAATGTATAGATTTTATTAGCACAATCTTTTTATTGCCTTTCTTTAAACACATTTTTGTATCAGCAAAATACAATATCGATGGACCTCTACTTCATGTGTATTGATTTCAATACATTGAATAAAACATGTCTTGGGTATTTAAACTTGCAGACTGCAGTTATCCTCTTTTGCCGTTGAATATAGGGATGCACGATATATCGGTATCGGCCGATATATGTTAATTTTTAATGTTATTGTTATCGGCCCGATAAGAAAATGTGGCCGATATATTAAAGCTGATAAATAATGTATTATTTCCTTCAGATGCGCACTGTTCAACATGATGGTTTTGAATTGCTTGAAATATGATTGGAATCACTTCAAAAAAAGGAAAATACAGTTCAGTGCAACATGTGCAGCGCAAGTCTGTCATATCGGCTACATAAAATTATAATGAGAACATCATAATTGTGTGCTTGGGACATGGCTTTCAATGGTGAGACTTTTGTTTTTGTAATCAGGCTCTCAAAAAAAATATAAAAATTTGGATTTAGATTTATCGGCCAATATATCGGGTTTTAAGCTAAAAGAATTATCGGTATCGGCCAAAATGTTCATATTGGTGCATCCCTAGTTGAATATGTGAATGTTTAATCAAGTAAAAGAATTTGAGATTGTACGGGTTTGTTCTGTATGATATTATGCGGTATTAATTTGATTTGTGCAGGTCGTCTTAAATTTAATTTTAAAAGCTCTGCAGAAACCCTGTAAATACCACAACATTGTTACAATGTAAATGTACCACCGCTCTCAACACATGGCAGTTAAAACAGAATTAATTCTGAAATGTCTTCTGTTTTCTCCAGTGGAATGAGACCATCAAGCTCTTCCGTGGTGGAATGCCAGTCAGACGTCACTGGGCTCATTTCAGGAGTTACGATCACAGTTTCACCGGAGCGGAGGCTGTCGACTTTCTCCATGATCTGCTCAGACAAAACCAGAACTTCGGGCCGGAGGTGACGCGCTACCAAACGCTCCAGTTACTGCGAAAATTCCTCAAAAATCACGTCATCGAGGACGTCAAAGGACGGTTTGGTAAAGAGGACTTAGAGGACAACGGGCATCTATACAGGTGATTTTAAAGAATCTTTCATAAATGGCTTTATTTTGCTGTTTACAGGTGAAACTCAAAAAATTAGAATATCGTGCAAAAGTTCATTTATTTCAGTAATTCAACTTAAAAAGTGAAACTAATATATGATATAGACTCATTACATGCAAAGTGAGATATTTGAGATACCTCGGTTTTCATAAGCTGTAATCCATAATCATCAAAATTATAACAAATAAAGGCTTGAAATATCTCACTTTGCATGTAATGAGTCTATATAATATATTAGTTTCACTTTTTAAGTTGAATTACTGAAATAAATGAACTTTTACATGATATTCTAATTTTTCGAGTTTCACTTGTATTAATGTGAAGCTGCTTTGAAACGGCTCCATATTGAATAAAGCGCTATAAAAATGTTGTTTTGTTTTTAAATATACTAAGTTTGGTGTGCGTAAGGTTTTTTAATGTTTTTAAAAAGAAGTCTCTTCTGCTCACCAAGGCTTCTTTTATTTGATTAAAAATACAGTAAAAATAGTGAATTATTATTACAATTTAAAATAATTGTTTTCTATGTGAATATATAGTAAAGTGTCATTTATTCCTGTGATCAAAGCTGAATTTTCAGCATCATTACTCCTGTCTTCAGTGTCACATGATCCTTCAGAAATCACTCTAATATGAGGATTTGATGCTCAAGAAAAATCTTACCGACCCCAAATTTTTGAAATGTTGCATTATAATAATAAAACAAAATTGGTATTTCAAAATAATTAATAATAAATGCTTTAAATTTGTCAGATTTCCTCCACAATCACCTCTGAAGCCTGTCCCTGTGCGTCCTCCTGTAAGAGATCACGGCTCAGTTCCCAGAATCCCACGCTGGGACGACTATGAGGAGATTACAGTGCCGGAGAAGATCCCCATGAAGCCTCTTATGGTGAGAGAACATTTGCCTGTGGATGCTGTATCATCTTAAAAATGTATTCTTTCTGGTGCTATTTACAATGTTAAACCTACTGAGCATGAGTAGTGTTATTTTTAAAAATTCTTAAATATTTTTATTTTGATCTCAGAATTCGGAGTCGTGGAATAAGAGGCACAGCATCGCCATTGGTGAGGTTCCTGAATGCCGGTTAGTCCGGAGGACCGAGTTAACCCCGAAACACGTGGACCAGATATGGAAGTCAATGACACTAACACAGTAAGCATTAGGGCTGTCACTTTGCGTTCGAAAATCGATTGCGCAATCGATCGGACCAACCAACACAAGTATCGAAAACGAAAATAAGATTTTAACGGCCTTTTTCTTTTCTTTTTTTATTACCAAAAATGTGTTTTAGGTGGACAGATCAATACAGGACACAGAGCATGTAGGATGTTGGAAAATAACAGTGTCTTTTCTGTTAACCAAATGCTTTTTAATATTTGCTATTACTTCAATGCAAGTGAACAAGCGCGCCGTTATTTGTTGCGTAGTGACGTGTGTGTTCAAGTAAGCCAGAAATGAGCAGATTCTGTGCAATATGCTGTATTTAATATATCATGAGGATCACGAGTTGCGTATTTGCGCTAAATCCGCGCAGATTTGGCTTAAACAAACATAGAAACACGACAAACTGGCTCGTGATTTGACAGCGTTTCCCGCCAAAGTTCATTTTTACCCGCATTTGGCGGGTCGAGGGAGTTAATCTCAATCCCTGAATGTTGCGCTCCTGTTTGTCATTGTGCACGAAACTTCACGCCAATAAATCATCAGGAATTTTGCTGACTTGTGCGTCTCAAGCGCCCTCTTTACGCTCGTCCTAATGCCTGTTAGGTGTCCGTGGATTTGCCTGTATTTGGTGTTGAAAATGGAAACGTCTTTAGATGGAAAATCGATTTTACAATCAATTCAATGAACACTTATGTCTCAAAAATCACACAGGATTTTTTTCACAAAAGTGACAGCCCTAGTAAGCATCAACCTGGTCACTTCATGTGTTTTTACTGATCGGATAGCTATCTGATTTGTTAAAACAGTTCCATTTGCACATAAATGTGTCTCTGCAAAACAAATATAAATCTGATCTTCAATTCCCGCCCGTGCTATATGCAAATTTACCGTAGTTCACGTCAACGAAAGCAACAAACATGAGCTGCATTTTATTTATCATCAGCTAATTACAATGAGCGCAATAGGAGAGAGAGTGGCATCAGCTCTGGTAAGATCATTTAGTCTCACTACTTTGAATGAAGATGATTGTTTTGAACATCTGCGACTTGTCCCTCCAGCGGGAGTTCTTCTCTATATCAGTGTCAGTGTTTCCGAACTCCCTGAAACGCCTCCATTGTAGTCTTGAGTTTCTTCCGGGAACGAACACGTCACAATATTCCTCATTTAAATAATTCATACGCAGAATAAAGGGGCGGGGCCTGGTTGAGTTAGTTAGTAGTGTGTTAAACTGGCGGTTATGGTAAGGGGCGGGACATTTCCCAAACACACTCTAAGCGCTCGACCAATCACAACACACTGATCCAGCCGACCAATCAGAGCACAGTGTGCTTTTCAGAAGGAGGGGCTTCATAGAGACAGGAAGTAAACAGAGCGTTACTGACAGACTGGGAAGAGAGGAGCCGCAACAATGGAGAATATGAGGAAAATAATCAACATTCAAGCAGGAAAACCTGTTCTAATAGAATCTAAAAACAACATCAAGACTTTAAAAAAGGGCATTAATAGGTCCCCTTTAAGAAGTGGTGATATTATGCTCATTTACAAGTTAATAATTTTATTTTTGGGGAATACATTCACATGATTTAAAGTAAAAAAAAAAAGTTGTACATGCTGCAGCACCTCTTTTCACTCTCTGTCTGTTTAAGTTCCTGTCTCTTTAAATCCCGCCTTTCTGAAAAGCCCAGTCTGTTGTGATTGGTCAACCACTTAGAGTGCATGTCAGAAATGTAAAGCCCTTTTTTTTAATACCATAATTGGGTTTCAGTCAATACCAGTGTGGGGGTAACACATTAAAGTAAAGCAAGGTATGCAATCAGATTACTTTTTTCAAGTAACGAGTAATGTGATGCAATTTATAACAATGTCTAAGGTACTTTAAGTTAGAATATTACACAAACCTGCTACAATTAAATGTTAAATTATACAAATATACTTTTATGTATTTAATCTAACTTTAAGTAAGGGATAGTGTACATCCAGCCAGTGGTTCTCTCGAAATAACCCCCGACAGGATGATGAGGACCTTAATCAGCCTGAAGGGGGTTATTTTTATTAGACACAAAATATTGATCTGAGTTTAAATATTTAATTAGGTCTTTAAGCACAAAGCTTCCGCAGAGAGAGCATTTGCAGCGCGGCAAGTTCTTCAAACTAAACGGACATTTAGAGATACGGTATACAGTCATACCACTTATTACACAGCATTTCGCCACAGAAATAATTATGAGGATAATATTGATTTCAGATTAAACTGTTTTAAATTCGTTCCTGTTTGTATCTCATAATCCAATAGTCACAAAATGCCAGCAGCGTTTGTATGAAACGAGAGAGCGAGTCCACGATACTGGATGGCATAATTAAATAACTGTACACAAAATATTGATCAGAATGAGTTTTAATACTTTATTAGCTCACCAAATACAACACTTCCACGAAGATAAACCGTTATAGCAGGCGTATAGCGCTGCCGACTTCAGTGACCCGGATGAGCCTGCGTTATCTGTCTTGACTGAGCGGTTGTTATCTGGGAATAACTTAGCGCTGGATGGCGCTATTGACCAATCAGAATCAAGTATTCCACAGAGCCATGTAATAATAACCAATTTTGCAATGCATTACTTTTAAAAGTAACTTTCTCCTACACTGGTCCGTACAAAGTTTTTTTTTTGCCCTCACAAAAAACAGCGTCTCCTCAACATATCCACTTAGCCAACTGTTCTTTGAGTGCGAGCCAAAGCGGCCAATTAACAAAAATAGTGACTTTGCTAAGTCAATGGCAGGGCTACATATGAGACGTGCCCTTATATATAACTCTCTTCATCAGTTTACAGACTGTTTTGGGTCTCCAGTCTCTGGACGGGGTTCTAGATGCCAAACGTCTGAACCCGAAGCACATCGTTCACAATGTATTTGGTGTTAATAAGCAGGGCATTGTGGTCCTGAAGAACAAAACAGGTGAGCATGGCTTATATTTTATCACATTAAATGTTCTTATAGCTCATTTCTGACAGATCTCTTTCTCTGTTTTGTTTCTGATAATTGTATCTGTAGAAGACGTGCCTCATTGGGTTTTATCTGCAATGAAATGCCTGGCAAACTGTGAGTGACTGATGACCTGCTGTCATACTGATTCAACTCAATGACACTACTGTTCAACAAATAATCAAAAAAGCTATTATTTTACCAAGTGATATAGTTCATTAGCCTATATATACAGGTGAAACAAGAAAAATTTGAATATCGTGCAAAAGTTCATGTGTTTCAGTAATTCAAATTAAAAGGTGAAACTAATATATTTAGTATATAACTGTATACATATGCATGATGATACTTTTCAGAGGGCCGACATTTCTGTATTTAAAATCCTTTTTTTATTGATTTCTTGTGATTGAATTTGGGGTTTTCATAAGCTGTAAGACTGACATAATCATCAAAATTATAACTTTTGCACGATATTCTAATTTTTCGAGTTTCACCTGTAGGTTGGCAAGCTGGTTGCTATATTAATATGGAACTAAATATGTCTGTATGCATGTATTTTTACAACCCGTTTTATGATGCTTTACACATCTCTGAATTTGCTTCATCTTCAGGGCCCAATGGCAGTGACGCCAGGCAGCCCATGTATCCAGGGTTTGAGAGAGACGTCTTCAGGACAGTTGCGGAACATTTTCAGAGACTAAAAGAACCACTTTTGACCTTCCATCTGTATGAGATATTTGTCAGTATTTTGGGTGAGTGATGCACAAGCTATTCACATGATCAGTGCCATTTAATCAGCCGCTAGAGAGAATATTACCAACCCCAAACTTTTATATGGTAGTGTGTGAAGTACTGATTTAAAAGTTTATAGTTCTGATATAAACACTGATGTTGTCAAAATAGAGAAAATCACCTTTTGGAAGTAACTTGCCGCTTCAAATAACGATTATCTCAATTTCATGGTTACACCAGTAGGTGACGGCAGGTGACTGTTAAAACATTTATTTGTCATTGAATCATTCATTCAAGAGATTCATTCATTCATTCATTCATTCATTCAATGAAATCATTCATTACTGGATGAAGTATGAGTGAGTCATTGAATAATTCATTTAACACGATTTAAAAAAAAAAGAATTAATTAAAAATTAAAAAAAATTAAATGGACCACACCAAATAACATTTTGTCAGAACCTCTAGTAATTTACATGTTATTTTGTTTAGTTTTCTATTCAAGATTGTGATATATATATATATATATATATATACACACACACATTACTTATATAGCTTTATTCAATGTATCAGCTATTGAAGTACCCAGTTGAAAACTAATACATAGTAGGGGTGTTACAGTTCTCTGTAAAAATCGAAACATCTCAAATCTGATGACGCATCTATAATCTGGTTTGTTGGTAAAACAGACAGTTCCGCTAATGTATGTTTCTGTCGATGGACGCACATGCTGGCTCCCCAATAATACATTACAACAGCGATAATCAAAATAATGTGAACGAAACGGCCACTCTTTGTAAACTTTGTTTAATGCGAGTGCCGTTTTGCTCGAACATGACCAGTCGTTTACGCCGTCATCACCCGAGTGTTGATAGCCCACGAGCACAGGCGAGACCTGGACTGCACACGTTGCTATCTGTGTTTAAACTAAACTCATTTAAGCCCTGCCAATTTAAACATTCAAGAGCAACTGAGCAAGAAAGAGAACTTGCACGCGCTGTGAGAAGAGAGTGTGTGTGTGTGTGTGTGTGTGTGTGTGTGTGTGTGTGTGCGTGTGTGCGTGTGTGCGTGTGTGCGTGTGTGCGTGTGTGTGTGTGTGTGTGTGCACTCATCCGAAGCGCGCACACGTCTCAGACAGTGTGCAAATATTGAGTTCTCTTTCAAGTCTTGCACTTGAACGGACAAATTCACACAAAAATTATGTCAATATGCCCGTCTTGATAAGTTTCCTAGCAGACATAGTCTGTTATGCCTTAAGTGAACTTATACGGTTGAGAAATACAACACATATGTAACAGTATCAGTATTTTGGATCTGTGCATTATGTCTTAAAGGGAACACAACCTAATATTCCCGCTGTCTGTGTTTCTAATGGTAATCAAACAAAATCACTTGCTGCACTTAAATAGCTTTTGTAACTTTAATAAGGCCGAACCGTACCGAAACCATGAACCTAAAACCGTGCTACAAACTGAACCGGGAGCCACTTGAACGGTTACACCCCTAATATATACTATTATAATTATTTTTACATTTAAGAAAAGGCGTCATCGGATGCCCATTTTCCACAAGTTGGTTTGATTCTTTAGGGTCTTCATGTAAAGTTTGTAACATACTTTGGTTAAAATTCCTCAATGGTTGTGTAAAACAACACCCTTTTACCTCCTCAAACACAGCTCTGTTCACAGCAACCCGTTTCAGTGCATGTCTCTTTAAATGATAATGAGCAACTGCTGATCCTCTCTTCTGTGGGGCGTGTGACAAAAGACACGTAAACTGATGCCTTGGCGGACATTATACAAATAACTGAGGGGGCGGAAATATGCTAATACAGAAAATATGCTAATACGGGACAGTCCGCCAGTGGTCGTGGGCGGAGCATAAGCAATATGATATCATATTGCTCAGAAAATCCAAACGGCTTGATTATTGAGTGTGTTTAGGCTTTTTGAGGATTATAAAAAGGAGTGAATGGATTTTTTTTCATTGTATGCTGGTTGTGTCCTCACACCCTGCAAAGAAACACATTTATATGCAAACACAATATAAAAGTGAATTTTGCATCCGATGACCCCTTTAAAATAATATGTAATGTTATTGTTAAAGGTGCAAAACGCAAGTCTCTGAGTTTTTGCAGAACTACGCCCCCTCTGGCGACAAGCGAAACTGCAACCAGAGTTGTGCACGCTCATGGACCACACGCATCTTTTATTGGATATGTTTTATGTTGTACTATTCTTCCGAACACAATTCCTAGTTTATGAAACTGTTCACTTACAATGGTAGTAAAACCAATTCTGATTGTACATGTATCTAGCTTACGCTAAAGCATTACACATTTTACACATCGTCATTTGTTGTCATACATAGATTGGCCGTATCAAACATTAGAGACTGGGCTATATCTTACCGTTTTATCAAGAAAAAAGCCAACTGAGGATCCCGTTTGAACCCAAGAGCAGACCGGAGATCTCTCCATTTGTTGAATGCCTTCCCGAGGTTGACTCTCGTCTTATTCCGACGCCTGTCTGACTCCAATTTGGACCTTTTGGTGGCACTAGACAAAAATTTTCTTTTCTTTACTTTACGTGGAGTTTGCGTTGGGGTTTGGAATGGACTACGAGCCGGTCTCTTTGAATCCATCTTCTACCTTTGACGCACGGGTTGTCTTCGCTGATGCTACGGCGAATACACAAACCTGCCAGACATAGCCTGGTGAGCGTGAACGCGCATGACGTCACGCCCAGTCTCAAATTCGAGCCCGAATCCCTCTTATATATTTTACTGTATAGGCTTATAGAGGCAATCTCAGTGTGCAGAGAAGGGCTCATTCAGCCCATCAGGCAGTTCTTTAAGCATGTATAGGATAGAAAAACAGGTATTTTTAACATGAAAAGTTGCGCAATGCACCTTTAATGTAAGGATTTGCATCAACTAGGCTCCGAGTGAGTCTAAATGATTGTTTGTGTGTTCTCCGCGCAGGTCTTCTGCAGAGGCAGCCGGTTGCGGTTGAAGCGTTGCAGGTCTGCTGTCTCCTGTTGCCTCCGGCCAATCGTCGTAAACTACAGCTGTTAATGCGTCTGATGGCTAAAGTCTGCGCCAACCCCTCACTCCCCCCTCTGAACGACACCATAGGAGCGCGAACTCTGGTAACTCACTCACCTCCTCACATAGATGCTCTGTATAGATGCTCATTATTTGGCAACCCAGCATGCAATAGCCGTCATTTCAGCGTCTAGGTTAACTTTGGCCCTGATAGAGCCGGCTATGAGGAACACTTCTAGACAAAATAACCTTGAATTTGGTTACATGTCGTTCTTGCCGAAAACAACATGCGAGATGTGTGATATTCCATCATGTAAGCAAAGTCTACAGTGATTACAAGGTGTTTGGTTTCATTTCTTCACTCATTTCATTTCTTTATCTAATTGATGACTAGTCTATTCTTGGGCGATGGTTTAGACGTCTATTTAATTTTCACTTACAGCCCAAATTCTGCCTTGTTTTAGCCTAGACGTCTGGACTGTGTTTGGACGCTATTAGACGTCTTTTAAACGCAAAACTGCTTGCTGGGAAATAGCTGATAATCCTTAAACTAAACTAATTTATAATTCAGCTCAGCATTCAGTCAAGCATTTTTCACACAGTCTGTCTCTTGTGGGTGCTCTACAGATGGTCCAGACCTTCTCGCGGTGCATTCTGGGATCTGCGGATGAGGTGGACTTGGATGAGCTGTTGGCCACAAAGCTGGTCACGTTTATGATTGATAACCATGACAGTGTGCTGAAGGTGCCGTCCAACCTGCGAAAATCTGTCGAGGAGCATCTGTCCCACCTCAGAAGAGCTCAGGTCAGCGGCCCACGTCATTCATTACATGCTTCATAACTGATTGAAAATATGAAACGGCATATTTAATAACTTCTTTAGTGTTTTTCTGAGAGAAACTAAATAATAAGTGGAAATTAATCCGTGTTGGGTAAGTTACTACTAATTATATCTTCAACACTGTAGTAATTACTCTCTCTATTGCATTACTTATTCCTAATTACTTTCTCTACTACTATCAAATAAATAATATAAAATTGCATAAATTATTCTTGAACTGACTAAAGTATTTTAAGGGAGATGGTTACATTAACCCTCTGGGGACTAAGCCCTTTTTGGTCCGTTTTCTCTATTTTTACATTTGGGCTTATAAACCATATGTAATGGAGATGGAACACTATGTGTTTGGTATCTATGGATTCAGAAGACCCTAAGCTAACATAATCATGCATGCAATGTGTTTATAAAGGAAGTATGAGTGAAAAATGTACTATAAACTAGAGAATTTCAAAAACGGAAATTAGATTTTTGTCATTTATTTCTGAAAATCACAAATCACACAACAATAGTGAACAGTTTTTGAACAAAAAATATATTTGTCAAACCCTTTGCTTGACAGACATGTGTAATTGTTAAATAAAATGTGTAAAGAACAATGAAAAATTTAACTTTATTTACAAATAGTCCCAGGCGTTTTTTCTTAGGAATGCTTAGAATTTTCTAATCAATGCTTTCTCCTCGTCACTCTCCAGTAATTGTTCCAGAGCTTGTTCCACCGTAAATCTTTACTGCTTGCCATCATAAAAGTGCTAAAACAATAAATAATGCTATAATTGTATGTGTATATATATATATATATATATTATAATTGTTCTGTCTCTCTCTCATAAATCTCTTATAATCCGCTCCGTAAACCTCCGTTTGCTCTCTCTCCTTCTCTCCATTCAACGCTGTTTGCGTCATATCCCTAACTATATAGTACCACCCCTTGCAAGGCTACAGAGCCCTCTGATTTGCTAGAAACGTCTTGGTAACCTTCCTCTGATTGGGTAAGAAAAATATTTCTCCATCGGCAATTTTTCCATTGGTTGTTGTTCGCGCAATCTGCCAAACAACATCGATTTCATTGGCCTTTTACATAGTGGTATTGCGCAACAAGGAAGTGTGTATATTTACAAGCCGGTTGAGTTATCACTGTTTTCAGTGGAATCTGAGGAAGACGGTAAAAAAGACCGCACCTCTCTATCACTAATAGTTTTTAAGATAATTACACATTTGTAAAAGTATGCCATTTTGGGCGGTACCGCCCAATCCGTCCCCAGAGGGTTAAAACATACATTTTAACATTAGATGTTAAATGGTTTTATATTGAATTGTTCTATAGTCTATACAGCATTTAATGCAATTACATCAGAAGTGTAATCAGAAGAATTAAGAGTAATCCCATACTTTACTTTTTCAGGGGAAAAGTAATTAAATTACAGTAATTAATTACTTAGTAATGCATTACACCAACACTGGAATTAATGTAATTATTTTTATTCATTAAGATTTAATTGGATTGTGTAAAGAATGATGATATTTTGCTTGCAAAGCCTTGGTTATATCAGATGTGCACAGTCACACATTACTATAAGGTTTAATTTGTTAACATTAATTTACTACATTAGTCAACATGAACTAACAATACTTCTACAGCATTTATTAATCTTAGTCAATTTTTACATTTACTAATTCATTTTAAAAGTCAAAAGTTGTCTGTTAACATTACAGTGAACTAACATGAACTGTATTTTTAGTAATGAACATTAACAAAGGTTAATAAATTCTGTAAAACCTATTGCTCATAGTTTGTCCATGCTAACTAATGCACTAATGTTGACAAATCATTGTAACATTTTACCAAAAAGGTATTAAAGTAAGAATTGTAAGTCAATTTTGATTCCCTGTTGACTTTTTGTGTAGGGCTTATTTCTCCACTTAAAGGGTTAGTTCACCCAAAAATGAAAATGATGTCATTAATGACTCTCCCTCATGTCGTCCCAAGCCCGTCAGACCTCCGTTCATCTCCGGAACACAGTTTAAGATATTTTAGATTTAGTCCGAGAGCTTTCTGTCCCTCCATTGAACATGTGTGTCCGGTATACTGTCCTTGTCCAGAAAGGAGATAAAGACATCATCAAAGTAGTCCATGTGACATCAGTGGGTTAGTTAGAGTGTGTTGAAGCATCGAAAATACATTTTGCTCCAAAAATAACAAAAACTACGACTTTATTCAGCATTGTATTGTGTTCCGGTTCTGTTGTGGATCCGCGTTCAGTGCCGCTGCTGACGTAAGACGCTGCTGACGTGTGTCTGGTGTGTGTGTGTGTGTGTGTGTGTTCCGGTTCTGTTGTGGATCCGCGTTCAGTGCCGCTGCTGACGTAAGACGCTGCTGACGTGTGTCTGGTGTGTGTGTGTGTGTTCCGGTTCTGTTGTGGATCCGGGTTCAGTGCCGCCGCTGACGTAAGACGCTGCTGACGTGTGTCTGGTGTGTGTGTGTGTGTGTGTATTCGGGTTCAAATAAATATGGCTGGGCAAAAAAATGCAAGTCTTCCTCTGTGTGGAAATCCTTAGACATGTTTGCGAAGATTGTTTTGTTTCCAGCGTGCGTCTCCCTCAGACTGTAAACGAAGCTCGGGCGCACCAGACACACACACACACACACACACACACCAGACACACACACACCAGACACACGTCAGCAGCGGCACTGAACGGAACGCGGATCCACAACAGAACCAGAATACACACACACACACACACACACACACACACACCAGACACACGTCAGCAGCGTCTTACGTCAGCAGCGGCACTGAACGCGGATCCACAACAGAACCGGAAGACAAAAAGTCCTAGTTTTTGTTATTTTTGGAGCAAAATGTATTTTCGATGCTTCAAAACACTCTAACTAACCCACTGATGTCACATGGACTACTTTGATGATGTCTTTATTTCCTCTCTGGACAAGGACAGTATACCGTACATACATTTACAATGGAGGGACAGAAAGCTCTCGGACTAAATCTAAAATATCTTAAACTGTGTTCCGGAGATGAACGGAGGGCATTTTTGGGTGAACTAACCCTTTAAGCGAATTTTGTTGAGAAGCTTTTGTGTAATAGAATGAATAAGCTTTGTGATGGCCGTCTCTTTCTTTCCCCAAATTCTGATTTCCTCACATGCTTTGGTTTCTTCCAGATAAAGTACGCGGGTGCGGACACGGACTCCTCGGTGGCGTCTCCGCCTCACTCGTTCTGTCGTCAGATCAGCAGAGAGGAGTTTGAGCACCAGAGGGTTTCAGCATCTCAGGGGGCCATCGTGGAGCTGCTGGAGAGCATCATACAAGACAAGAACATGACCATTAAAGACAAGAAGAAGAAGCTCAAGCAGGTTAGAAAGGATTCTTTTGACATCCGTTCGGGTTCGGTGATAAAGGAATATCTGTGGCATGCTCTGCATTACCACAGAAAAATTGTGCAAAGTATTTACAGTAATAGATTCGAAGGTGCTCTATTATGTTTTTTACATGTTCACAAAGTCCCTCTAGCGGGAGTTATTCTTTATATCAGTGTCAGTGTTTCTGAACTCCCTGAAACGCCTCCATTGTAGTCTTGAGCTTCTTCCGGGAACGAACACGTCACAATATTCCTCATTTAAATAATTAATATGCAGAATAAAGGGGCGGGGCCTGGTTGAGTTAAACTGGTGGTTATGGTAAGGGGCGGGACATTTACCAAACACACTCGACCAATCACAACACACTGCTTCAGCCGACCAATCAGAGCACAGTGTGCTTTCCAGAAGGAGGGGCTTCATAGAGACAGGAACTAAACAGAGCGTTACTGACAGACTGGGAAGAGAGGAGCCGCAACAATGGAGAATATGAGGAAAATAATCAACATTCAAGCAGGAAAACCTGTTCTAGTAGAGCCTGAAACAACATCAAGACTTTGGGCTTAAAGGGGATCTATTAATTTACTTCAGTTTTTATTCGACTGCTTTGCATATGCATACAGCCAAATGCACATCCTTTAAAAGTATAGAGTGAAAACACATTTTCAGCGCCGTTGGTTCTGGAAGTATTTTTCCTCATTCATTTTTCACATAGGGATTCTAGGAAATCTTGGTTAAAGCATTATTAACCATGAAGCAAATCAACTAGATACAGGGTGCATAACAACATTACAAACATTTATTGGAACCAAAAAAGTATTTAAGTCTGACAAAAAGACAAAGGTTCAAGACTGTATTGAACATCTTTAGTGAGGGAAAGAACAACAATCCCATAAAGCTTTGCAAACAAAAAATAATGGAGAAAGATAAAAGTATTAATTTAAAGTTGCTGCTATCAAGCATGAATGTTTGTTGTATGAATGTAATCCAGACGTCCTACATTCATCATGCTGTCATTATCATGTGACCTTCCAGCATCAGTTCCATTCATAAATCCTCTCCCGTGGCCTCATGGGATAGTAAAGTCTCAATCGTATGCACACTTCAGAATCTCAACGGAAGAAGTAGGTCATCCAGATACTTTTTACCTACTGTGATTTCAGACATGCTACTTTTGTCACTTACTGTTTTTCGCCTGCTATAGAGTAGGGAAGTATGTGATTTCAGATGCAGCCACAGCCTATCACATCATTCGCAGTGCATCATGGGAGTGGGTGGATTTGATTGGTATAATGTAGTTTTTCAATACGAGTTCTGCTGTTAAACAAGATATGATTGAAACAGTGCGAACAGATGGCTTCAACAAAAGCATATACAAGTTTCAAGTTTGTATTTATTTTATATAGCACATTTAAAAACAGCAAACAGGGCTGACCAAAGTGCTGAACAAAAGGTCACAATGAGTTACCATCGATTTACAACCTCAGTTCTCATTAAAAATCAATTTCTCTATGGAGAAAATGATTAAAGTGCTATGCATACGTGTAAAAACCCAAGTATACTTTATAATGGCTTTCTTTTGCTTGAATTGTTTAACCTGAATATTAGTTCTGTTGTTCCACAAGGTAACTTGGCTATATTTCATATCTTCATGTTGGAAAACTGTGAAATCTGTTTATTTTCCCCATGTGATTTTTCTCCTGTCAGTTCCAGAGATCTCATCCTGACATCTACCGAAGACGCTTTCCCACCGCTGAAAGTGAGGCGGTGCTTTTCCCAGAGAGACCGCAGAGACTCAATCCTCAGCTGATGTTCCTGACGCTGAAGAAACCCTTCCAGCCCTTCCAGAGGAGCTGGAGCTTTCGGGCCTGAGTCTCATGTGTTACTATCCAGGAGAGATGTTACTGAACATTACAGGTGGTGCTATGACATCCTAAATCCACATAACACCCGGTTCACCTCGTCAGCGATCAGCTGACTGCTTTGTTGGATTGATGAATGTATAATGCTGTGCATTTGAGCCGTTTAACGCGAGACACTACAGGCAAAACCAGTGTTTTATTTTGCTTCCATAACTTGTCTTCTTTCAGACTAGTGGAAAGAAAACATCCAAAATATACATTTAAGTCTTTATTTATTACACTTGATCTCTTTGCGTCTGTAGATTTCAATTATAATACATATCTTTAAAGATGTTTTCTCAAAATGAGATGCACAGAAATCTCTGATTCAGTCGCTGAAGTTTTTTTCATAATTCACTCATCTGATATATATTTAACAATTTATTTTTAAAAAAGGTCAAAAATAGTTTTCTGTCTGTTAACAGTATATGCTGATTTATAAAGAGTGATAAAAAGTAAAAACCTTTAAGTCTAATATGAGACAAGAATTCTGAACCTGCTTTATCCAGTGTTTAGATTTCTGTTTTTGTATGCAAATTAGTCCATATGTAATAGATCATGCCTCATTTGCATATTTAAACATAACATTTCAGAAAATATGTAATACAGAACAATTGTCCTAATGTATTGTGATTAACTGGGGAAAGTATGACATCTAGTTATTTTTTCCCCTACTCGCCTGTAGTGTCTTGCTTTAAGAATGGGCCTGAAAATAATAATAATAATAATAAAGATCTATGGTCACACTTTAGTTTAGGGTCCAATTCTCACCTCAACTATGACTTTTGCCTCAATAACCTCCTAATTACTGCTTATTAATAGTTATTAAGGTAGTTGTTGAGTTTAGGTATTGGGTGGATTAAGGGATGTAGAATATGGTCATGCAGAATAAGGCATTAATATGTGCTTTATAAGTACTAATAAACAGCCAATATCCTAGTAATATGCATGATAATAAGCAACGGTAACACTTTACTTGAAGGGGTGTGCATAAGACTGACATGACACATGTCATGAATATGAAGGAGGTTTCATGCATGTTTATGACAACTGTCATTAAGTTTCATTCACTCAATTATGACATTTTTAATGCAAATATGACATTGTTTGAGATGTTTTTGTTATGACAACTTGACATTACTAAGAAAACACAACCTATCACAAATATGTCATAAACAGATTAATTATCAAACTTAAGAAACCACTTAGCTTTATGGGTTAACATTACATTAAACTGTCATGTGGTTGGTGTTGACATTGGCTGTCATGAGGCATTATAACATGTTAATGACAAATTAGATTTGTACCACTGTAGTCGAGGTCAAGAAAAATATTCATGACAGTTATAATGGCCTTATGACAGCCAATGTCAAAACCAACCACATGACAGTTTAATGTAATGTTAACCCATAGTGCTTTCTTTAAGTTTGATAATTAATCTGCTATGTCATGACTCATGTTTATGACATATGATAATTTTTGTTGTCTTGGTAATGTCAAGTTGTCATGACAAAGACATCTCAAACAATGTCATATTTGTATTAAAAATGTCATAATTGAGCGAATGACACTTAATGACAGTTGTCATAAACATGCATAAAACCTCCTTCATATTCATGATGTGTCATGTCATGATTATGAAGGTGTCATGTCAGTCTTATGCACACCCCTTCAAGTAAAGTGTTACCTAAGCAACTAGTTAATAGTGAGAATTGGACCCTAAACTAAAGTGTTACCAGATTTATCTATAAAATAGCATGTTATTATAACCAGAAACACGGCAACTGTAGTGCTTGTTGTTTTTATTTGCTTGATTTTAAATAATCTGTAACATTTACAATTAGTTGCGTTCTATTTTTGCGGAGCTGTAATTAGTTTAGCTGCAGGTGTGGTGGATCAGCTGTTCAGTTCTGGTTCATCATGTTGTCAGCCTGAGGACATTTGTGCTGGTCACCAGAAAACTTATTTTATACTTAGAATTGAGTTATGAATGCTGTCAGGTAGATCTCAGTGTCTCTAAAACTACTGATACAGGCTTTATTTTTATACTTCTTCATTCGTTCTCTGTAGTGTTTTCACTGTGATACTCTAGTGTTTCTTTGGTTCCTTTGTGTTTATTTGGTTGTAAAGTAGTTATAGTTTGTAAAGTGTCAGTCAAGTTTGTGAACACATCACATAACACTAAAGAAAACCTTCACATTATATCATTTGATTATTTATAACTGATTGTGATCGACTCACGGTACTGTAAGTATATCATTCAAAACACACCATTTAAGGCTTTCCTGATATTTACTGTAAGCTTGATTTAGCCAGGCAGCTTTTACATGTTTTTATGTGTTTCTAAAATAATGGATAGCAAACTTGAAGTAACGTGACGGAAGAATTTATCATCTAATTCAGTGTTTCTTTCAATAACACTGTTTTCAATGTTGTATGTCTCAAGTGTTTTGATTCTGTGCAAATTCTGGAGTTATTGTTACTGATTTGGACGTCTGCACTGTGATCACAAATATTGATCAGAAAATAAATAAATGTATATTATTAAATGATGTTATTCTTGCACATTTTATTTCGCCATGTTAATAATATTGCAAGCTGACAGACATGCTAAACATTATCCTGTCAAAAATAATTATGGCACGACTAATGTCTACAATTCACTGCAACACTGAAAGGCAGATAAAGGTAGGAATAATTTTGTTATGATGTCTAATGTACACCTCGATTTCGTTGAGACTTTTAACATACATTTACATGGAGGTTTTAAACTGTGTTTGTGTCCTGAAGCGTACTTCAGCTTTCTTCCTCAAGAGGTCAGCATAAGTGCACTAATATTCATCTCTTAGAAAACTGGCAAAAACACCACAGAACGCCTGCTGTATTTTACCTGCCACAATGGAAAATGAAAAATACTATGATTAATAATTAATAAATTAAAAATATTTATTTGTTTTTCCCTTTCAGTGTTGTTTTTATTATTGTATTACCTTCTAATCATTCTCTCTCTCACTCTCTCTCTCTGTGTGTGTGTGTGTGTGTGTGTGTGTGTGTGCACCTTTCAGAAGGTCATTGCAATGACATGTTCAACATGGTTCACTCTTTTGTGCACAACAGCGTATGATCTCATATAAACACATGAAGCTGCAGCTTCTCCCTGAAACAGATTCATGTTTGTAGACACTCTCATATCCTTCTGCAGTGTGGCATTTATACAGCCACAAAGAAGACATGAAAATTGAAACCCTAATAGCTTATTTTTTCATGCTGCGCACATGCACATTTAAATACGGCCTGAAATGCAGTCAGAAACAGAATGCCTGCTAAATCCACACGGTTCTAATTATGTCTAAAACGAGATGCAATTTAGCTACAAATAAATCTAATGAAACCGGTGGTAATTATACTCACATATGAACATAATTTCTCATGCAATTTCACAACAATATACTTTTTTCCCTTCACAAGCCTGTCGCCTGACGTAAACATGCATGCATGCTGTGAATTGGATGTGTCAGAGTTGAAACAGCCCTTGATCCTGCAGAAATGTCCCAGCTGGCCTCGGGCTCCCCTGGTCTATTCCAGGTAATCAAATGCTGCCGGGATGCAGGTTTCCGCATTAATTACATCTCTTTAAGCGGCCTGTTCAAAGCCAGTGAATCATCCGGCAAGTTGAAGATAGAGTTTTTGAAGGTCACTTTCCTTTTAAGCTGGTGATCAATATCTGAAGCCTCTGGGCTCCATCCAGTTTCAGCTCAGCCGGAGACAAGAGAGAGATGTTGGCTTCTGGAAGAGTTTAAATATAGCATAGCATGTGAGAGTACAGTGCAGAAGCTCAGGAGAAACAGTTCGCTAGATCTGAAACACACAAAAAGTTCAATCTAGAACCATTTAGGTTCGTCTAAAGGTCAAAAGGTTTTATATGGAAACTTAAAAGGATTCCACACTTTTACTAAGGTTTAGTTTTGCTTTAACAGTGAGTAAATATCAATATTTTCATATAGGTTCAAATAAATGGCTTCTCAACAGATTGAAATAAGCATTATCATAAAAATTATATAGGCTATATTTTATTAGTGATGCATCAATATATAGTGAATATGCAAACACATCAATATTTAATGCAACAGATTCACAATATAAGTGCAAAAGTTACACATTGATCAAAATCACCTTCAAAAATGACACTGAATATAGAATAAATGGTAACACTATGGTATAACTATGATTTTTGCCTCAATAAACTTCTAATTACTGCTTAGTTATTAAGGTAGTTGTTAAGTTTATGTATTGGGTGGATTAAGGGATGTGATCATGCAGAATAAGGCATTAATATGTCCTTTAATAAACAGCCAATATCATAGTAATATGCATGCTAATAAGCAACTAGTTAATAGTGAGAATTGGACCCTAAAATGAAATGATACAGAATCACTGTACATTCATTTTTTTTTTTAAAGCTACAGAACCTTACAGAATAAATCGTTTTTAGGAGATGAATAAAGATAATTGGTTTCTATTATAGAACCCTAATGAATCCCATTAACAAAAAATATGTGTATTATGCTTGATTTAATCATCTCGAATTCTACATTTTCACAGCATTGTCCATTCACTCAATATTAAATAAATGAGTCTGCAAATGAAAGTGATATTAAAATCGTTTGTTCAAATGCCATAGAAATACTTTTGCTGCCAGCTAGTTTGCTATGATTTCATGCACACATTATGAAAAGCACAAATGATATTTGTGTCTAATGATGTATCTGTGAACTCGCACTGAACTTGTTGCGTGACCTGCACAACAACACTGCATGTACAGTATCAGACCATGTTCAGAGAAAGTATTAGTGAGCGTATTGATCAATATTTGCTCCAAACTGGAGTTTTGCCAGCCATGTCTTCACACTAAGTCCAATGATTCTGTCTGACAAACAAAAGATTTTCTGTGCTGTGCAACAATCGATGCTGTCTGTAAGCGAAATGAGCACAAGATTTCAGTTTAATAAATACAATTTTGGGGTAAACTGACCCTTTATTGAAGACGGCCGATGTTGTAACATTCATGTGGTCTGCGATTAAATGGTCCACATATACAAATGCATCATGAAAAAGTAGTCGCAGTTATGCAACGAGCTATTGTAGTGAGGATTTTTATAGTGCTATTTCTCATTCAGATAATTTACCATTAGATTAGCGCTGATGAAAGAGATGTAGCCTACAAAGACATCAGATTCACTACTCAGACTATCTGGATGAATGCATGCTAGCTATGGCTGTGATTGTGAATATGCTTAACAACACCCGTTAGCAGGCCTACATCAGAAGATTAGGTTGTACAAATCCATAATAAAACTTTCTGCCTTCCCCCCCTCTATGAGGATAATGAAACATTGAGGTAAAACACAGTCTTGAATG